GCCTACGCGGCTCTTCCACAGCTGCTGAAACTGAGGTAGGCGCCGAACTGGCAGGAGAAAGCTCGGAGCTGGAATCGCGTAGGTCAATGTGCTTCTTCACATGTCGTAGCGTTTTCCGCCGCCAAGGGGCTGCATCAGTGTGGTCTACCACGGTGGAAGTTGTCGACCGATTAGACATGATGGAGGACCGCTTCGCATCGGAGCCAACCGAGGATTCAGACATGGAAGGCTGTCCTCGATTCGGCACCCGATCCGAGACGACTCTGCGCGCAGGATACACGACGGGGCTGTCCTGTAGCGACACAGAGCGCAGTGCCTTGGTGGCGTTTGTTGCAGAAACAGTCGAGTCCTCAACCACTTCACTGTGGTTGCGGCCCTCCCTTTGTTGTCCCGATGGCCTTCGTTTCCTTATCGACACATTCCTCATGAGATTCGAGTCCCATTCCTCCTGCCCTTCGCCCTCCCCACCTGCCCACTCTCCGTCGAACCTGTCGAATTCCCTGGCTGTGCTTGGGGTTCCGTCACCTCTGTCACTCTCGAGTCCAAGCCCCAGGCCCACAGGCTGTGACCTCTCTTTGCCATCCACCTTCAACTGTCTGACGGTACTCTGTGAGGTCTTTGCCGACGACAGTGTCGGTCGCAGTGCTAGCCTCTCGTCCTCATCGTCGGGTGATAAGAGGGGAACTTCAGGAGCTGTTCTATACGATTGAAAGCTCGAATCGGTGGTAATCTTGGACTGCATTCGATCATAGAGTGGCGGCCGAGACCTGGGTTGCGGCTCAGCTGCACCCGGAGGGGTGATCTCTGGAGTGAGAGGTGTCTGTGGGTTGGGAGGAGTAGATGGAGAGCGTGGCTGGACCGTCTTTATGCTTAGCGCTGGGCTTTCAGCATCGTCTTGCTGGTCGCTTGACGTATCAACAGGATGGCTCGCCGACGAGGTTCGGGAATGTGTTGGCGGAGTTGGCGGAGGCTCAGGGCCCCTCCCTCGTCGCTGTCTTGATACATGGAGCTCCTGCTGACGAACCCGGGGATTCCCATGCGATAACGGTGGATCGGCCTCGATATGGTTTCCAGACCCAGACCGCGATCGCGACCGTTGAACTTGCAAGTCGGACACTCCCACAACGGCCTCTTTTCGCGGGTGTGGCAAAACCTTGTGCTTTTTAAACATGCGCTGGTGGCTGTTAACCTGGGACAGGCCCATAACGGGGAGCGCAAGGCCCCGATCGGCGTCTACCGTCATGGCTTCTCGAGTTGAGTTGTTGGGAAAAGAAAGAGTCAAAGGAGAGAAGTCGGCATCATGTTTGATGACTATTATTGATTGCTGTGTGAATATTGGTGCGCGGTGACGGCGGGTGATTTCACTGTTGGAAAAAGAATGCGCCACGCAGGGTTGCTCTCGGCGGAGCTGCTGGGCGAGGTATCACAGAAGGAAAGTTGCGGCCGGAGGACAGCGTCCTGGGTAGAGGCAGATGGCAGCGGGAGAGCATATGATCAGGACACCGTCCATCTCATTCACTGTCGAGGGAATTCTCTGTGATTGGCCCGGCCCTGATGCAGCTCCAAAATAGGCGGGCTGGGAGCGAAGAGGGACCTGAGGCGCTGGTCGGGTACCCCTAGCTTCCAGATGGCCAACTTCCACCTATTCCCTGCCAAGCCCTTCTAGGGCGGGGAACAAGGGGATCCACCCACCTTCAGCCTGGAAGTTGGGTCTTGTCTTCAATTTCCATTGTTCCACTCCAAAAAGGCATTGTTGGGCAGAGTGGACTGCGACAATGTCCACGTATCAACTTTCTATTCTTCAGCAATGCATGAAATTCCCTGCAGTCCCTCGGCGCTGGATGGCTGGCCCTTCTCCCAAAGCGGACCCGGGCAGGCAGGGAGACGCAGTGTTATCCAGTAGGTGGCCATCCGCTGCGCTGTCCTGCCGCAGCACGGCAGCTTTCTGAGTGACCGACTGCGTTCCAGGAGCCGGTCCAAGGCCCCGCCGATGCAGCGAAATCAGGGCACCGGCCGAATCAGCGCAGGAAGACTGCCCTACGCACCGACGGCGGTCCCCACTGGCCAAACCAACAACAGACTCGGCGGTTATTCTCTTCTCTGTTTTTCGTCTCTCTTCACCGGCCGTTACCTGGATTCAAGACAAGTGTCATCCCTGGACAACAATGGCATTCTTGTCGCCCATGTCTCGGGAACCACGTGTTGGGCTTGAAACGTTCTCTCTTCCGTCTCCCACAAGGGGTATTCCGCATCGTAATACAAGGGGGAAAGAGAGAGAGACAATTTGGAGTCAAAAGACAACTATTATAACCATGAATGAGAATACCAGTGGCTATCACATATCTCCGAGTCGGAAATAATTCGTAAGAGATTCACAACTCGCACAGTTCCATTGCTGCTTCTCTTATCTCCTCCCATCAATGTCACCATCTGAGCAGCGAATAGGACCAGCGTACCACAATATGTATGAGAAAATAAAGACCAATGACCACATCGCCACTGAAGGGGGCACATCTGCACTTACATCCCACTCCCACGCCTATCTATCTATCTATCTTCTTGCTAGTTGACCAGGTGGTTCCCCCGCTCCGGACCTCGATGTCATTCGCGCCGGAACGGTAGCCCCGTATTCCCGGGTCCCGATCTCTTGGAGTCTTCAGATTCCATTAGTGGTGAAATTATCCAACGCCCCGAGTGTGGGATTCCGAGAAATCGACGAGCCTGCCATTGCAGCTTCTCAGAGGACATACAATTGGTGTATTGTTTCCTGCAGTCCCAGTTGAGAACATAGTTCACATGCTCTGCTTTATCTATCTCCTGTCCGCTCCCGCATGACGATGGGATATGATGTCTTCCAGTGAGATGATGCAACGACCGTTACCTAACGAGAACCGTTGACATGACATGCAGCGATGGCTCGTGGAAGGACGTCCAGTGGATGAGTCTGGGGGAGATTGAAGCATGTCATTATCTATGATACGGCCGGAGATGTGCTTCTGGGGAGTTGGGTGTCTGCAAGTGGTGACGATTGTTGGTCGATGGCTGCAGAGCCCCAGTTGAGGGGAGAGGGGAGGCATTGGGGTATAAAAGGGACGGTCCTGAGGAGAGATGCCAGTTTTTGAGCATCTGTTATAGCTATCCATATTGTATTCTTTGAGGATCAAAACATGGCAACTCAGGGTCTTTTAGCACTATGGCTTACAACTGCTGCCCTGGCACATGGCGACCATGACCACCAGCAGAACATGGCTGGACCTCACAAATCTCTGTGGTACAACACCTTGCCCGGCGATGGAGGGACTCAGGTCAGTCAACTGACACTTGTCTATCTCTCCTTCACTAACACCATCCCCAATACAGGCCGACTCAGTCTTCTCCGGCATCTCAACCTTCGGCCGTCTCCCTTACCTCCCCTGCCTCTCCCACAAGGACATCGACTATGACATCGCCTTCATCGGTAAGCCCCTCACACAACGGTACACAGCATCAAACAACCAAGCTAACAAGCATAAAATAAAACAAGGCGCCCCCTTCGACACAGGCACATCCTATCGCCCCGGCGCTAGATTCGGACCATCCGGCATCCGGCAGGGCTCGCGAAGACTAAACTTGTAGTACGTGTAACCATCCCCCTCTCCTCCCCCTCGATACAAAAACTAACACACTTCCCAAAAACAGCGGAGGCTACAACGTCCCCCTCGCCACAAACCCCTTCAACTCCTGGGCCAAAGTCATCGACTGCGGCGACATCCCAGTCACCTCCTACGACAACACCTACGCCCTCACCCAAATCGAAAACGGGCACTTCTCCATCCTCTCCCGCCCCCCCACCACCGACGCCTCCAAACCCGGCCCCTCCCTCAAAGGAAAAACTTTACCTAGGGTTATCACTTTAGGCGGCGACCACACCATCACCCTCCCTCTCCTCCGCTCCATCAACCGCGCTTATGGTCCCGTGACAGTAATCCATTTCGACTCCCACCTCGACACTTGTATTTCCCCCCCTTTTTTCACCAATTTTTTGTTTTTAAAAAGATAGGTACTGATAGTTTGAAAAAGGGAAACCAAAAGTCTTCGGCGGCTCCCCCTCCCAGACAGCCTCCATCAACCACGGGACGTACTTCTACCACGCCGCGCAGGAGGGTCTGCTGCGGAACGACACAAACATTCACGCGGGGATCCGCACGACGCTGTCCGGCCCGTCGGATTACGAGAATGATGGGTACTGCGGGTTTGAGATTGTGGAGGCGAGGGAGATTGACACGATTGGGGCCGGGGGGATTGTGAAGAAGATCAAAGAGAGGGTGGGCACAAAAAATCCGGTTTATTTGAGTTTGGATATTGATACGTTGGATCCGGCGTTTGCGCCGGCGACGGGGACGCCTGAGACGGGGGGGTGGAGCACGAGGGAGTTGAGGACGATTTTGAGGGGGTTGGAGGGAGTGAATTTGGTGGGGGCTGATATTGTTGAGGTTGCTGTGGGTTTTTTTCTTCTTCTCTTCTTCTGGTGATATTTGGGAGAGGATAGGGAAATGGGTGGAAGAGAAGGTTTGGGGCTGACAAAAGTGATGATAGCCGGCCTATGACACAAATGCGGAACACACCACCATGGCGGCGGCGGACGCGCTATTTGAGATTATGAGTATCATGGTGAAGAAGGGGTGAGCTCCTCCTTTCTCCTGTCTTTCACTGCATGGTTGACTGATGCAAATACAAGCCCCCTGAGCGTCCTCGACATCGACCCAGCCGAGGAGAAGGAGACCAAGGATCTCTAAACTGCTCATCAGTGTCTTCTTTTTCTTCCCTTGCACGGGATAGAAAATCGGAGCAGGGAATCGCAGAGTGAAGAGCAGAGCAGTGTGAAAGTTAAAAGTTGACTCGGACCGGATCAGAATGAGAAAAGGGGCTTCGAAAGGAGAAGTTGTGGGTGGGCCAACCAGTGGCGTAACTTAACCGGGGATTCTACCACCGAAAAACATCCACATCTCAAGGAAAAAAAAGGGCCGCTGGTCTAGTGGTATGATTCTCGCTTAGGGTTCACCCTGATGTTTACAAAGTGAAAATGTTTCTCTGGAAATATTAGCTTGCGAGAGGTCCCGGGTTCAATCCCCGGGTGGCCCCCTTCTTTTGCTTATTGCTTCTCTTACCTTTCCAATGGAAAGAGATATCTTTTTGCTGTTGACAGCTTGTGAAATGATGCTATTCTGGTCGATGCTGCGTGATATGGAGTAGGATGCCGGATTTGTGGCGAGGTGACGGTTTGGGAAGGTCTCAGTTGCTGTATTGCGGGTTAGGGTTACGTAGGGGGTCAGGTCGGGGAGCTTTGCTAGACCAAACCAAGCATTGTCCAAAACGATTGGTAGAGGACATTGAAATACGAAATCTATTTCTGTGCAACAAAGAGTAACAAGATCATTGTAAAGTGGCTGCATCCGGCGGGCTGGATTCGGGAGCGCCCGAAGAGTCGGAAGCTCGGGCCATATGTTACGTCGGCAGCATTGACGACATGTTCCTAATCAGAAGGAGCTCTCTAGAAAATCGTCTGATGTTTTGTGTGGATAAATTGGGAAAGAGCGACGGAAGTAGGCTCAAATACTCTAATTCCGGAATTGATTTGTGCTGTCGTGTTCATCTCACATCTCTAAAACTCCAGCTTCCACCGAGCCAGCTGCTTGCTCATTTGCAACTAACAAACATTGCGATACAAAATCAACAGAAAATCAGCATTGTCAAGAGACTATAATTCCACGTATTATAGACGCTGACATGAAGCAGGGCACCTCAATCATCTCCTAAACCTCTGTCGATAGTCAAATCACGTCCGGAAATGGATAGGTAGAGTCTATCACCTTCCACACGAATTCAACCTTTTCCGGTCAAGTGGAAAACTGTGACATGACTACATACTCTACTTTCTCTTCCGGAAATTCTTCCGTGACGGATTCGGCATCATCGTGGCCATATCGGAAGTCGAGGTGTTTAAACCAACAGACCCAGGAATGCGGAAGCAATCGAGAACACTGAGAGACATTCCACTCACCTCGACTACAACCGAGGAACACCACGAGGGCTTGTCTCGAACTGTTTCTGACCTTTCGTGTAAGGCGACCTACCTAACCGAGGTCAGGTTCAGTGTTAGCCTGTCTAGGTAAACATCTCGTTCTTTGTTCTCCCACCTCACAGCACCATCATCATATTATTTGTTTACGCTTCCGGGTACACATCACCACCAATTCCAACTCTCCTCCTTTGTTTACTCGCACCCTCGCCCAATAACGCATTTAGATACAGCCCCAAACGGCCAATACTTATAACCCAACCCGTCTCCTGAACCTCCCCCAGTTTTGAAAATTCTCTTGCATCACCCCAAGTGTTCACCACCACAACTCCACCATTTCACTCGCTTATCAACACATCCAATCGCTCTTATTCACCGTTATCAAAATGAAGCTCCTACTCCTCCCTCTCCTCCCCCTCCTCGTCTCGGCAGGCAGTCCAGACCCCACCACCACCTCCGTCTCCATCAAACCAACTTACACCCCCCCAATCAAGACAACCACCACCCAGCACACCTGGACCAAACCCACTCACACCGAAACCGAGACGGAAACCAAGTACAAGATCTACGTCAAACCGTCTGTCCAAGCCCAGACAGAGACGGAATACCACACCAAACACCACCATCACACCAAGCAGACGGTCGTGAGCGTGCAGTCGGTGTACACCCCGTACACGAAGCCCCATCACCATACGGATACCGTCACTGTGATTGGGTCGAAGACGTATCCCGTTTATGTCCCTACTGAGACGACTGCTGCTGTGACGGCTGGGGCGCCGAAGAAAGCGGCTGGGGCGTTGGTGGTGCTGGGAGGGGTGGCTGCTTTTTTGCTTTAGTGGGGAGGGATGATTGGGGAGGGATAAAAGGGAAGGAGGGTAATGTATAATTTGGGGGGGGGGGGTGGTTGGTTAGTTTGTTTGGGTTGCGATTAGGGGTGTTATGGGAGGGGGGTTGGAGTAATTTGATAATGAATTTTAACTTGAGATTCGAGTCTGTTGCAGTTACGCTGTTTGTTTTATCATGCGTAGACACCACAAACTGGGATCTGTCTCGAGGCTGCTGTCGTCTATTAGGTACCGCGTAATTTTTGTGGTCAAGTCATCTGGCATTTGGATGTAGACCATCTCACTTTACAGAGTACACCCTCAATGATACGATCGGAGGACTTCAAGTGTGGTTCATGCCTTTTAACATTAAATTCACAGATCGCAGTCACAGGAAGCGCCAAGTAAGTAAGTAGTTGTTCGTCATCAAGTGAAGCAGGCTAGATTCAACCATCCTCCAAACCTTGCTATCTTGTTCTTGTACTATATGCATAAAACCCCCATAGAAACGAATTTTCCAAAAAAAGAGTTCTTTAACAACGAAGAACTTTTTTTTGGAAAATTCATTTCTATATGACACACACATAAACCCCCCTAATTCGACAGTTCTTCTCTTGTTCCATCCCCAATCCCATCGCTCCCAGGACTGAAGAAATCTTGACTGCCATAATCATACACAGCGAAGGTCTCAAACATGAGTGTGTGTTTAACAGCTTGTTCCAGGACCAAAGTACAATCCCAGATGCCATCAAATTGCCAAATCATCTAGCTTCAATAAAACCATCCCCTAATTGAAGCAACCATCATCATCCCCACAAGCATAGGTAGCTTGTTATTGTTGTCAGAGCTAGACCGACTTCTCTTCTTGCCATCACCAGGAGAGCAAGAACAGAAACCGGTACTCTGACCCTTGACAGAAGCGGTAAGGAACGCAAGAGATACTAAATCTCGAGGGGGCGGCGTGGCAGCATCACACAATGAAGTGGTGCCTTTTGCCTACCCTTTTCCTCCCTGATCAAACACCTCTGAACCAGTCAGATGTGTTTGTTGTGTTCAGGAGGGAAAAGGGCATCAGTGTTGTGTGTGTGAGAAAAGCTTGAGTGTAATATTTCAACAAACAGCCATTTCAAAGTGAGCGTACAGCTTTTTTCATCAGCGTCATTAAAAATCATATCAAGTTCCTCAAAAAAGTGAGGGACGCGAATGATCTTTCATGACGAGAAATAAAGCCTCGTGTTTTGGTGTCGTGTGTGTGAAGGGATCCTGATCAGGAAAGCGTGCCGACTCAAAAAAGCGGACAAAAATCAACGCTCAAAAAAGTCTTATTAAGGCAACATCCATCCAGAGTCAAGTCCTTGATCTTCCATCGAAAAGAAAAAGCAAGCCTAGGTATCCCGAGGCAATTGTCGTGGACATTTATCGGCGGACGACAATGCCGTTGCGGCGGGAGCTGCGCTCAACGTACTCCTGCTCATCCTCGGACGAGGAGCACGAGTCCTCGTACCCGCAGCGGGAGCCGCCGCAGTCGAGACGGACGCGCTCGCCCTTGCGGGTGATGCCGTAACGCTCGCAGGTGCACGAGGAGCAGTCCGAGGAGGGAGTGCTGTAGCCCGACGACGACGACGAGTTGTCAGAGCGGTAGGACAGGGACGAGCCGACGGAGGAGACGGGGGAGACGGAAGCGCCAAAGTCGGTGATGATGTCCTCGGCGTCGTAGTCGTAGATGCCGGTGGCGGCAAAGTGGCTGGAGAGCTCATCCTCGTCAAAGTCGCCGTCCAAGATGTGGCGGGTAGCGTGGGGAGCTACGGGCTTGGGGGCCTTGATCTGGGAGATGGAGAGGGGGCGACCCTTGGGGATGTCGGAGCTGACCGAGTGGCGCGAGGAAGACTTGCGGGAGGAGGACTTGCTGGAGGAGGAAGACTTGGAGGAGGACTTGGGGACGTCAAGGATGTTGAGGGCACGGCCGGTGGTGGGCTCAACGGTGGACTCCTCGGAGGGGTTGTGAGAGACGTGGTACCCATCGATCATGTAGTAGTACCAGTATCTCTGGCCGGCTTGGAGGGTGGTGGGCTGGAAGCGGAAGGTGCCCTTCCATGTGCCGGACTTGGAGGAGGTCTTGTCCTTGGAGAGCGGGAGTTGGCCGGAGTAGTTGTCCCAGGAGCCGAGGAGATGGACGGTCTTGACACCGGAGGAAACACGGAGGTTGAATGAAAGCTGAATGGCGGACATTTTTGAAATGTGAGGCTGAAAAGAATTACACGAGATGCTGATAATTAAACCGTCCCGAGATGAAATAGCTTCGCGTTGTAAAAGGCGAGGCGAGCAAGTAAACCAGTAGTTGTTTTTGAGGGTTGTAGGTGGTGATGATTAGGGAATAGCTAAGACCAGCAAAGCTACAATATTTTGATTTTTTGTGTATTAGTTGAATTAACAACAGAGCACAGCTCCGTGTAAAGGGGGAGGGTAAAGAAAGGGGGGAGGAGGGAAAAACAAAAACTGGTTTAGTTTTTTTGAAGGCTTGCTGAAGAAGAGAAGAAGGACAGGAAAGGAGGGTGAGGCCAGAGCCTTATATCACTCTGTCGAGAGACACAAACAAGGGAGGATCGGCCCAGTTGACGGACCACAGCATGGGGCGCATGGCCCCCAGCGAGCACTACAGATTGCCGGCCGAGTGGTGGAATCGATATCACTCAGAGCGCAGAGTGCTACTGCACCGTGGGCGGCTATCTTTTTTGGGAACTTGACTGAGAGAAAATGCCCCGCACTTGTCAATCACTCACGCTAGTCAGCTTTGGGAATGGTCGGGCGTCTAAATCCTTGCTATGGTCAGCCAATCAGGTGTTACATCTCTGCATCACACACAGCTCATGCGGACGACGGCAGAGTCGGCCAATAATCGACGCTGTCGCTACCCGTAAACCTGCGCGGTGCATGATGCGGGTGAGAGCATCTCATCAACTTCTCAGGACATTTTGTGAGTGGCTGCCCCTTTCGAGAAGCAACCGTTGAGAGGGGGCTGTCAGGTTGTGGAGAGAGGTGGCCGCGGATTGGGCCGATAGTCTGGCTTCTCGCAGTGGACTTGCGGATAAAGTGCTGTACGAGGTAGCAGAGGTGAGCTGAAGGTGCAGGTCAAGATCGACTTCCGCTCTCGACCAACGCCGCCGCAACGGCGCGTTCTCTTCCCTGTGGAAAGGCCATGGAAACACGGCCATGGAAGCCGACTGCCGACTCCCGGATCC